TTGTTAACCTTATGCCTTTAGCATTATCTAGAGGCTAGGCTTAGTCAATGAAATAAATACAAAAGTTATTCAACAAAAAAAATTGATATTTACCTAGTTATTCCATTTATTTAAATTATGTGTCAATTGAAATGTTAAAAATAAATTACTAAACCAACATTTAATAAAAAAAATGGAACAAATTCAATATAAAAGCCGTAGTTTAAATTAGAAAGTATCTTCACCAATTACAAAGTTATCTCGCAAATTCTTGAATTTCTCTATCAATTCATCGACAGTTACTTCTCCATGGACCTTATTGTCTCTCGTACGAACATTAACAGTTTGACTGCTGCGTTCTTTCTCTCCAACAACTGCAACGAAAATAACATACGTATTAAAACTACGATTTATAAATAAAGTGTCTCGTAACAGTTAGCAAAAACTTGAGAATGAAGTTGAAATAGAAAAAATTAATTAAAACTTTAATACCGAGTATAAAATTAAATTGCGCCAGTTGTGCATTTCGAATCTTCTTATTCATTGTATCTCCTGCATCATTATCTACTTCACACATGAATCCCGCGTCGAAAACTTTCTTTTGTACTTCTTCTGCATATTCGTCAAAAACTGGTCCAACTGGAATGACCATGGCCTGACGTGGAGACAACCAGAACGGCCATTTACCAGCATAACTTTCTGTTAAAATAGCTATCATACGTTCCACAGAACCCAAAATTGCCCTATGTATGATCACCGGTCTCTTTTTCTCCCCAGTTTCACTTAAAATTCAATTTCAAGTTAATTTTGAAGTGTTAGGGCAAATAAATTATTTAATTACCTTATGTATGACAGATTAAATTGTATGGGTAACTGAAAGTCCAACTGTATGGTAGCACACTGGAAAGCTCTTTTCAGTGCATCCATTATCGTTATGTCAATTTTTGGTCCATAAAAGGCTCCATCACCTGGGTTCAGTTTCCAAGATTCTCCAAAATGGTTCAAACTCTCTTCCAAAGCCTAACAATAATAATTTTATAGGCATTAAAATCCTCCCGAAACAAGTTCTATTCATTATTTTAAACTTTCTAATAAATTAAATTAAATCTTGATTGCTTTTAATAGAAACAAAGTATTCTTAAGACAGAACGTAATTTACATTTAAATTTATTCCTTTTAATAAACTTTTAACTTCAATAATATATGCGATATTTGTTTGTGATATTATTTAATAAATAAATTAAAACTAAGATATTTTAATTTTTATTTCTCACCATTTCTGCCTGTTTCCACATTTCTATATCTCCTAAATACTTTTCTGGTCTCGTTGATAAACAAAGATTAAAGGTAAAACCGAATTTTTTATAAACTTCTCGCAAAAAGTCCAAACATCCCTTCATTTCAGATTTAATCTGTTCGGGGGCACAGAAGATGTGAGCATCATCTTGCTGAAATCGTCTTACTCGGGTAAGTCCTGTTAAAGCACCCGACAATTCGTTACGATGTAACACACCGAAATCCGCAAAACGCAGGGGTAACTCTCTCCAGGATCTTGTACGGTTATCGAACATAAGACTGAAATTTAAATTTTATATCATTGCCTAATTTAGTTGGCAAAAGAGAAATTTACATATATGTACTTAAACATTAACAATTAAAATTATTGTCTTACCAATGTCCTGGGCAATTCATTGGCTTCAATGCGTAAGTATCCTTTTCTACTTCAAAAGAAAACATGTTTTCCTAAAAATAAGAATAGTTTGTATTCTTATTAAATAAATAAATAAAATAGTAAGAAAACATGTTTATAATCTATATATTTTTGTCAAATTATACTCCAAAAATGTGCAGTAAAACGCTTACAGCATAGTGTTCCCAATGACCAGAAACTTGCCACAACTTCACGTTATAGATGTTTGGAGAAACCACTTCTTGAAACCCACGCTTCCTGTACTCTGATCTTATGAAATTAACAAGGGTGTTATAAATGTGAGCTCCTCGAGGAAGGAAGAAACAAGACCCTGGCGACA